AGTATGGACATCTTAACTATGTTAATTCTTCCAATCCAAGAGCACAGAATATCTTTCCATGAAATGTTAATATTTTGTGGGGGGTTTTTGTATCTATGTTCATCAGGGATATTATCCTGTAATTTTCTTTTCTTGTGGTGTCGACTGATTTGCATATCAAAGTAATGCTGGCCTCATAAAAGGAGTTTGGAAGTATTCTCTCCTCTTTTTTGGAATAGTTTGAGAAGGATAGGTATTAATTTTCTTTAGATGTTTGGTGGCATTCACCAGTGAAGCCATTGGTCCTGAACTTTTGTTTGTTGGAAGGTTTTTGATTACTGATTCAATGTCTTTACTAGTAATCAGTCTATTCATATTTTTTGTGTCTTCATGAATAAGTCTTGGTTAGGTTGTATGTTTCTAGGAATTTATCCTTTTCTTCTAGATTGTCCAATTTGTTGGTGTATAATTATTCGTAGTAGTCTCTTATGATCCTCTGTATTTCTGTGGTATCAGTTGTAACGGCTCCTCTTTCATTTCTGATTTTGTTGATTTGAGTCCTCTCTCTTCTTTTTCTTGTCGAGTCTAGCTAATGGTTTGTCAATTTTGTTTATCTTTTCAAAAAACCAGCTCTTAGTTTCATTGGTCTTTTCTATTGTCTTTTTAGTGTCTATTTCATTTGTTTCCACTATGATCTTTGTTATTTCATTTCTTTTACTAACTAGGTTCAGTTTGTTCATTTTCTAGTTCCTTGAGGTGTAAAGTTATGTTGTTTATTTGAGATCTTTCTTGTTTCTTAATGTAGGCATTTATCACTAGGAATGTCCATCTTAGAACTGCTTTTGGTGCATCCTATAAGTTGTGGTATGTTGTATTTCCATTTTCATTTGTCTCAAAATATTTTTTAATTTATTTTTTGATTTCTTCTTTTACCCATTAGTTGTTTAGGAGCATGTTATTTAATATCCACATATTTGTGAATTTTCCAGTTGTCGTCTGGTAATTGATTTTTAGTTTCATACTATTGTGGTTGTAAATCATGTTTAATATGATTTCACTCTTCTTAAATTTATTAAGATTTGTTTTATGGCCTAATATATGATCTCTCTTGGAGAATGTTCCATGTGTGCTTCAGAAGAATGTGTATTCTGGCCGGCCCCGTGGCTTGGTGGTTAAGTGCGCGCGCTCTGATGCTGGTGGCCCGGGTTCGGATCCCGGGCGCGCACCGAGGCACCACTTCTCCGTCCATCCTGAGGCCGAGTCCCACATACAGCAACTAGAAGGATGTGCAGCTATGACATACAACTATCTACTGGGGCTTTGGGGGGAAAAAATAAATAAAATCTTTAAAAAAAAAAAAAAAAAAGGAATGTGTATTCTATTGCTTTTGGATGGAATGTTCTGTGTGTGTATATTTAATCTATCTGCTCTAAAGTGTCATTTAAGACCAGTATTTTCTTATTGATTTTCTGACTGGATGATCTATCTATTAATGAAATTGGAGTATTAAAGCCCCCTACTATTGTATTGTTGTATATTTCTCTCTTTAGGTCTGTTAATATTTGTTTTATATATTTTGGTGTTCCTATATTGAGTGCATACATATTTACAAATGTCATATCCTTTTGTTGCATTCACCCCTTTTTTATTATATGGTCATACATTGCTTAATGATGGGGATACATTCTGAGAAATGTGTTGTTAGGCAATTTCATCTTTGTGTGAACATCATAAAGCGTACTAAAGGGAACAAAATTTGGCATCCTAAAAATGTGTCTCTTTAACATGAGGATTATTTGAGGGTGATTATTTTTGAGAAACAAAAGACTTAGAAAGTTTTTCTTGTTACCTCTCCCTTAGCTGCCTAAAAGAATTCAGATAAAAAAAGCTGTCTCAGGAAGCAAGCTATCGCCTTAGCATAAAATGAACTAGGTGAT